ATTGATCCCATCATGGGGCTCCACCCTCATGACCTCACCTAATGACCCTTCAGGTCCCCACCTCCCAATACCACCCCCAACATGTCCTCCCCGCCCGCGTGGGGCGGGGGGGCGGCCCCCCCACAAACATTCAGTTCATAATACTACCAATAACAAATAAGTCCATACACACAGAGTTCAGCAGCTGGCCAAGTACATGCACATAAATCACTTCATTTGCACCTCATGATTGTTACAGGTGAGTTACCTAGTCTCCCTGTTTTACAGATGAGGAAGCTGAGTTGAGAAAGATTCAGTGATTTCCCCAAGGTCACACACCTAGTAAGTGGCAGCAGTGGAGTGCAAATTCAGGGCTTCTCATTTCAAATCCCGTGTTCTTTCAGCTGCAGCAGGAACCCGGCCATTCCGCCCCTGGTATGAACAACAGTGGTAACAAAGCAGAAACAAGAACTGATGTTTATTTTGAGCCAGTCTCTTTGAAAACATTATCTCCTAGGGTAGGTATTATTACTTTCTCTATTTTACATCCCTGAAAAAACTTACAGTTGTCAGGTTTAAGCCACTTTTCCAGATCATACAGCTACTATGTGGCAGAACAAGTATTTGAACTGGGTCTGGCTGAATCTAGAGATTATGTTCTTAAAGCTTCTGCTCTTTGAAATGCTCTCTGGAAAAACTCTTTCCCATTTTGCAGATGAGAAATGCTCTTTGGAAAATGCTCTTTGGTATGTAAGATGAAAATCTTCTGTCAGACATACTTATTGAGATCTCAGTAGAAATGGATTTCTTGCCCTTTTAGAAGCACTAGTATCCTACAATGTACTCTATTGAAAGCCCTATTTTCTAGGCACTGCAGATGGAGGACAGATGTTTCTTTATGCTCTGAAAGGTCCACTCTATGTAGCTGACCATAATGAGATTGTATCTTGTTCTGCATGTTTCCGAAAAATGGCATTGGACAGATTATTCCAAATGAAAGCCCAATCAAAGGAGTTACTGCATAGATTTGAGGAAAATAACAGGATGTTATTCAGTGGTGTGGGTGGGAACTTTTCATGTCAGAGGTCATTCTGAACCACACACACATTTTGAGATGTGTTCTACCCTCAGATTCAGCCTGAAGTCTGAGCACTACACATATGTCTGGTTGAGATTGATGTGTGTGTGTGTGTGGCGGGGGAGGGTCACAGGTTTGGGGACTGCTGCTGGACTTGATTTCAGTATGATACAGAATTACAGGTAGAATGAAGTCCCTAAGGCCGTGGAGAGGGAGTAGAAACTTGGACTTAGATATGACTATTCAGATAAAGATACTCTCTGTCAGTTACGTTGTTGCCTGGGTGTATTTTATTTAAAAAAAAAATTTTTTTTTCAACATTTATTTATTTTTGGGACAGAGAGAGACAGAGCATGAACGGGGGAGGGGCAGAGAGAGAGGGAGACACAGAATCGGAAACAGGCTCCAGGCTCTGAGCCATCAGCCCAGAGCCTGACGCGGGGCTCGAACTCCCAGACCTCGAGATCGTGACCTGGCTGAAGTCGGACGCTTAACCGACTGCGCCACCCAGGCGCCCCGCCTGGGTGTATTTTAAAGGCCTATTTGGGAAGAATAGTTAGACCCCTAAGATAATATTTCACAGGTTTGTTGTATTATGGGATCATGATTGCAGCCCACAAGAAGGTTTTTAGGGCCAATACACCAATGTGCTTGCATTTTGGCCAAGCTGATTTCCAGGCGAGAAAGTCCATTGAACTCTATGGAGAATCATAGCAGACTGAAATTGGCCTTAGGATCACCTAGCTCAATGTCTTTCATTTTATTGAGGAGGAAACCAAAGTGGACCCGGAGAGGGTTAGTTACATTCTGGAGTCTAACTTAACACAGCTGAGAGAGCATTCCCCAAAGCCCTGATGGACAAAAGTTCAAGGTAGTGGTTGCAGATTTGATTGTGCGTTTGCATAGCATCTAAGAGCACAAACTCCGTGAAGTCAGATGTGCTGAAGCCGATTCCTTTGCTTACTAGCTCTGTGTGCTTTGGTAAGACATCTAACTTCCTTGAGCCTTAGTTTTCCTATCTGTAGAATGGGCACAAGATGTTCATGCTTTAATTTCACCATACCTATTATACCTTCAGGTAATGTACCCACAGTTCTACTCCCTCCTGCTATTTCTTTGCCCTCAAGCCTTTAATGATTCCTCTTCATTTTCATGGTCTGTCCACAAAGGTTCCCCCTTGTAGTTTCTGGCACATACACTTGCTGTTAGGCATTCTGGCTGACCCAGTGGCCCCATGACATAGTCTGCCAATGTCTGGCTTTCTGCCTTTTACTCATTCTCCCTCTGCAACATGCCGGGCACTCTTCTGGTGAAAGGGCATAAAAAAATGAGCAAGATGTGGTTTTGGTCATCAGTTTAGAGAGGAGGAAATCTATAAATAAGCTTCACTACATAGTTATTAAGAATAAAAGCACCTAACTCCAACTTTGGAGAAGGAAGGTGGTCAGGGAAGGTGTTGGAGACAAAATGATACTTCATCTTAGTCTTAAAGCATGAATGGAGGTTTGACCAATACACAGATGATAGGTAGAGAGATGATAGATAATATTCCATATTTCTATGGAAGGAAGGAACTTCCGATTCAAAGAACAGCATGGACAAAGACATGGAAGTTTAGAAAGGCCTGGCAAAGAGGACTGCCATGCAGTTCCATATGGTGGGCTTGCTGGAATGCATGTGGGAAGTCCAGCACTGCCCAGAGGATTTGGATGCTGGCCAAAAAGCCACAAAAAAACATTGGGGTCAGGTCACATCACTGCTTTGTTAAGTCCCAAAGGGCCCCAAAGGGCAAGAACATTAACATTTGCACTGAGTCACATGCAAATGACAGTGTTTGCTGTACTGAGGCTGGGGGCACCTTCCATGCTGCGTGAGAGTGAAAAGTCAACACGGTTACATTTCTGTGACTGCCATTCTGGCCATGTGGCATTGGATTTCATTTTTTCAAGATTCTTCTATTTAGTTACAAGAGATAGGCCTTTTCCTTTAAATCACACTGCCTGGCTATGGGAGGGCAGGTAAGGATGTGACTGTGGTACGAAGGAGACTGCCCTGCTCTCGGCAGCGCCCTGAGTGGTGATGGGTAAGTCTTGTTACCAATGGACAACCTGCATGCCATCCTTTGCACTGTGACTTGGCTACCTGATTGCCTCCAGGGAGATGTAGGTGCTGCCCAAGGGCCTGGCCTGTTTTTTCAGCCATCTCTGGTTTCTGGCCAGAAAAAAGAGGGAGGAAATAAAGGGCCCCAGTGCTCCTGGTGGGCCTCATTCTCCTTTTTCTGGACCAGCATCCTTTTCTCATTTGGAAGAGAGCATCGCCTTCACATGGCAGCCAGTTGGATGGGAAGATACTTATGGAAAATCTCAAAGCTGGGAGCTGAGACTTCCAGTGGATATGGATGCTGTCCACACCAGTTTTACAATCTAGTCAGGCACACGGACATTAAACAAATAGTAGTTACCAAAGTGACGGATACTTCAAAGTAGAGTGCCAGGTGCCATGAGAACGCACGACAGGGGAACCTGAACGGGGACCTGGTCAGGGAGGTACTACACTGAGGAAGTGACCGTTTACCCCAAGAACTGGATGAACAGGAGTTAACTAGGCAAAGGGAGAAAGGAAGAAACTTCTAGGCAAAGAGAAATACATATGCGAGACTGAGGTGGGAAAGGGCAAGTTTTAAAAGATTTTCTACCACATTTGGAGGAAAAGTCATTAGAGCTAACCAGTAGTGAGCACCACCAGGGTCAGACAAGATGCTAAGCATTTTATACAACCTCATGGAATCCTCCTAAAACCGTATTGCCACGAGGGTGGGGCCCTGTTTGTCTCATCCCCGTCATCTCACTGTATCCTCAATACCTAAGGCAGCAGCTGGTTAGAAGCAAACACTTAATATCTGTAGGATAGAGTGTAAATTTTATAGAAGAGGAAACTGAGGCTCAGAGAGATAAGGCTATTCAAGTGTTACTGGTAGAGATGAGACTCCAATCCCACCTGAAGGGCGGAGCTGAGTGCCTTCCCAGCGGCTGGCACCCAGTCTGGCTCTGTGTAGGGCAAAGATCTTGCTTTCTCTTCTTCTAGACACAAGAGAGCCCGAGTGTAGGGCTGGGCACCAGGGCACAGAGGAGGTGCACAGCACACAGCTCCAGGGCAGCTCACCATGTGTCAGGTGAGCCTGAAGGGCACACAGTCTGCCATGGCAGCTGGCACCCAGTTGGATTTGTACCCTAAGTGCAGGGAGAAGCGGACATGTCTCAGTCCACCTAAGACTGGGGTGTGTGTCTCTCCCACTGGAAGCCTGTTTGCCGTTCAGACACTTAGACCCAGAGCCCCAAGCAACAGAAACCTGAGAACTGAAAACTTGGAGGCATCCATCAGCCCCAAGTCAAACTCTGGGCTCAATGTCAGCGGTGATGGATCAGCTTCAGATTGCAAGCTTTGGTGTTAAAGCCCAAGGGGGTCAAGAACCTCACGGGTCACCTTTTTACCTGCCCAACCTCAGGACATTTCTCATTATTGGGATCTGTAACCTGAGCACGATGAAGGCCCTCTTGGGAATGTCCCATCTGCCCTGACCTAGATAGTTCCTCTTCATCATACACCCAGCTCTCCTGATGTGGAGGCATGGCAGAACAGCCCTGGAAAATAATCCCATCCTCCTCCACTTGCTATTATGCTTTAGGTTCTTTGGTGAGAAAAAGTCATAAAACTGAGTCATTTCAAAGGCTCAAAAATAAATGTATGATGTGCTCGAACTCTTAAGAAAATGACTTAACATCAGCCCACTCACTGAGCATTTTATGTAGATGAGAATATTAGAATTGCAGGCGCCCTAGAGAACACCTCAGTTCACCCTCCCATTAGGCTCAGTTAGGCCAGGCCCTTGAGCATGCTGACATATGCAGATCATGCTGGAAATGACATGGCAAGGGTAGATGCTGAATTCCAGAAGTCACAAGGACCCCATCCTCTTTCCCCTGAGGAGCTGGCCTCTAGCATCCTGATCACCACTAAATTCCCTGAGTCACGGCTCCCACTGCAAGAGATGCATGTTAATTTCCTGCAGGCCTTCTAGTCACGGGCTTAGCCAGGGCCTTTGCCGTTTATCCAAGGCAGCACCCAAGCCATCTGGCTCATTTCCAGCCTTGCAAAAAAATTCTCTATGGGCACTCTTTTCTAAGCTGGAGGAATTAGACTCACCACCAGAAGAAAAAGGGAAGAGGGCCAATTTCTTTCATCTCCTAGAAGAATAGAAAAACAACGAATGCGATTGCACAAAGTTATTTGGTAAGTCATGTTCCCTTCCTCAGCGGAGCTCCGTGGTGAATGGGGCACAGGCAGCATCCAAGAGCTGCAGTCCCACTGTGTGTATGGAGACAGCTGATCCGGGTGACTCACAGTGGGCCTGGCGTGCCACTTGCCTTAAAAGGCAGGCATTTTGGGGGCGCCTGGGTGGCGCAGTCGGTTAAGCGTCCGACTTCAGCCAGGTCACGATCTCGCGGTCCGGGAGTTCGAGCCCCGCGTCGGGCTCTGGGCTGATGGCTCAGAGCCTGGAGCCTGTTTCTGATTCTGTGTCTTCCTCTCTCTCTGCCCCTCCCCTGTTCATGCTCTGTCTCTCTCTGTCCCAAAAATAAATAAACGTTGAAAAAAAAATTTTTTTTTTAAATAAAAAAAATAAAAAAATAAAAAGGCAGGCATTTTGAAGAAGCAAATGCCAAGGAAATCTGTGCTTCAAGGAGTGGGTTCTTCGCTTGGGTTCAGGCTTTTTCCATGCTTAGCAGCGCATTCAGCCAAAAGGCAAAGCTGGGGAGGGACACACCATCAGCTTGGGGTGAGGAACACAGCTTTTTATCTGGATCATGGCACGAATTCAGTAAGGGCAGCAGAACCCGCTCCTCCAAATGTCTAAATCAGCAGAATGAATTTAGAACGAATTTAGCCTGAACTGTGATTTGTAGTCTTTTTGCAAGTCTAAAATGCCTGCCAGCATTTCCCTATCATAAATCAGGACTCTCAGGGAGCTAAACTGCAGTTCTGTAGTAAAACCCAAACTCGCTTCGAGCCTCATCTGTACCTCGAAACGAAAACCAAAATGTTAACAACTCTTTTTTTTCTTTTTTTTTTTTAACAAGATGAGGGTCTTTATCCAACATCTCCCACAGGATTCAAAATTCAGAATGGTACCATAGTTTAGGTTAGGACATTTAAATAAAAACTGCATTTTCAAAAAAACCCATCAAGTTTAAAAATACATTAGCCCTTTGGATGAAATTTTGTATTTACACCAAAGGGTGTTTAAAACTGTGTTTGTGCATATGTGTGTGTCTGTGTGCAGATTATCTTTTTCCCAGAATATTTAGAGTCTGCACATCATAAAGGGCAGAAAACCGTATGAGATGCCGAACTCCTCAGCTGTCCTCGCAACCCCATCACTTACTTGCCATAGGACCTTCACAGTGTGCACGATACAAGAAGTGGAGATTTAGTGCCACAGAGTCCCCAGTTCAAAACCTGGCTCTGCCACCAACCATACAGCCTCATATATGACATAATAAGTTGTTTGACTTGCCTGGACCGATTTCTTTTTCTATAAATGGAGATAATGCCTGCCTTAATATGTTTTAAGCCTTAAAGTTTACGAAGTCTCTGGCAGATGCTCAATAATGGTAACGCTTGAGGATGTCTCTTTCAGAGCCTCGTTTTCTTATGAGTGAAATGGGGACGGGAGCCTAAAGTGCTTTGCATCCAGTAATGCACCGTGCACAGGAGGGACTGTTCTTGAGACGTAAGATGCAGCTGAAATGAATGCGGCTCGTTAGGGAATGCACAGGACTGGGGTTAGGGAGGAGGCCTGCATGCTAATCTTGGCACTTCCACTCTTGGGTTAAATATAGATTAGCTGTGCTTCTGAGAGCCAGCCGGCGCGAGTGCAGAGAGTATTCAACAGGGGGACATGCAGATAGGTGCCAGCTCCCTCTGACGGTGGGTCTGTGATCTTGAAAAAGCCAGTTAGGCTTTCCTCTACAGAAAAGTCTACATGGTTCCTTCCGATTGGAAAGTTCTAAAATTCTAGGATTGCATTCGGGAATGAGGGAGCAAATAAAATGGACAGGAAGTGACTCACTGGCTCAGGAGAGGACAAACTAGGACAGATATGGGGCAGGAGGAGGCACTGGGCTAAAAGCAATGGGAAGAGACCAGTGAGCTCTGAAAACCGGAGTCCTCTGTGAGTCTTCAAACTCCAAGGTGGGGGAGAGAGGAGGAAGGGCTGAGGTTAAGTGTTCTTTACCTCCACCTCTGTAGAAATAGGCTTTGCAGACCTGTGAGTTGAATAGGATTCCTCTTCTGAACAGTCATGAGACCTTGGCAAATGTTACACTTTTCAAGTTGGTTTTCTCATCTGTAAAATAGGAATAGCACACCAAAAGGTTGTTGGCTGGATTGAGCCGGTGCATATGAACAAGCTCATAGAGCACCTGGCGTGTGGCAGGTGTTCAGTAACATTACTGTTGTATTCCATTATGCTATTCCCCCTTCGGTGATGGGCACCAAGCTGAAGGATCAGGGACAAATGATTAGATTTTTATCTTTTCTCAATTTGAAATCATGAATGAGGCTCCTGATGGATCATTCTGCCCAGGTATCACAAGCCCGGTAAATTTTCCTCAAGCCTCTTCAAGCAGACTGAATCAATTCTCCCTTCACTTGGCTACTTCTTCAGCCTTTCCCTTTTCACAGATCAATTGCCGGATACTGGCTCTATTATGACAAGGGTTACAGAACTGTTCTCTTCCCTCCATAGTGATCTAAGTAGTTTCTCTGGGAAGCACTACTGAGACACTAAGACAAGGATGGGAATCCCAGTACAGTTCAGGCAAAGACTAGAAGGAGGCTCCCCTCACAGGGGTGGCATTCGGTCTTCCTGGGGTTTAAATATTTGCGTGGGGCACTAATTTACATGGACCGTCAAATGTCATTGAAATAATTAGAATTAGGGGACCAGTCAACTCAGGTTTCCATTTGTAATTCTTTAGGTTCACCAGCCTAAGGGATGCAAATTGGTCCTACTGCCATTCAGTATACTGAAGAAGTCTCTTATTTGGAATTTGAAATTGTGACAAGAAACCCCATTCTAGGAAGGAAGCATCTTGATAAGTGAAAGGGATTTATTTTGGGGAGTACAAGCTAAAACGTCATCCTTAGTATGACTGAATACTCTCAAAGATGGGATTTAGTAACGGGTGAGGATATGGAACTTGGGAGGACGTAATTAGGAAAATGCTAAATAGCACAAGCAGAGAGGGGTGGGGAGGGAGAGGACGGGGGCCAGGAGAGGGGATATTTCTGTACTTCCAAGGGAACAAAGAGGTGAGCCCCAGTGGCTGGCTGGTCTGCTCCTGAGTCCCAGGAGAAGAGACTCAGAGCAGCAATGCTATGAGCAGACAGGTCTCATTTGCCCGATAGCTCCTGCCCCCAGCTGTCTCTAGCTCATTCTTGGGAGTTTTGTTTTGGGAGAAAGGAATAATTAGACAGTTGAACCAAAAGTTCGTGATTTTTACTACTAGGAGACCAAGTCCCCTATCTCTACCAAATACATATTAAATAAATACTCAAAGCATATTTTTAAAGGGGGTGCCAAATTCTTACCTGCCCAGGGCACCCACATTTCTGGTCCTGGTGCCGGGTGCTACATGAGGCTTTCTGAGCACATCTCATTTGAAATGGAGTCACTGAGCTTCAATGGGGGCCATGGAATTCTCAAGATCTTGGGGGCTGCATTTGATCAAGGCAAGGCAAGGAGAAATGGAGTAACAGGGGAGGAAGTAGATGCTGGTCAACTTCTATTTGAAGTTATTTGATTTATTCTCATCTCAGCGGCAGAGGGAGGCAGAGAGTAAAAAATGGTGTGGGCCAAGCCCTACACAAACAATAGGCATGTGTAAAAAGGCATACAAAATTCAAGGTATTTATTATGAGGAAGAATTTGAAAAGCTTCTGAGTAGCACACAGGCAGTTCTCTAGAATCATTGGTATTTAGGAGGGAAGACTCATAATTCTAGTGTAGAGGATGATGAGACCACACAGGATGAAAAGAGGTTTGTTATTTAAAAAAGACTACGTATTTTTAAAAAATGACTTTTTTGGGGCGCCTGGGTGGCGCAGTCGGTTGAGCGTCCGACTTCAGCCAGGTCACGATCTCGCGGTCCGTGAGTTCGAGCCCCGCGTCAGGCTCTTGGGCCGATGGCTCGGAGCCTGGAGCCTGTTTCCGATTCTGTGTCTCCCTCTCTCTCTGCCCCTCCCCCGTTCATGCTCTGTCTCTCTCTGTCCCAAAAATAAATAAACATTGAAAAAAAAAAAATTTAAAAAATGACTTTTTTTTTCTGATCCTCCTTTGGCTTACAGATCTGTTTTCTTCTGTAAACATGGGGCTTGAATTCAAGGTGCAACGCTGTGCCTTTGGAGAAACCGCTTTTCTCTAGACCTCAGAGAGGAGAGGGACTGAGCCTGCAGCTCTCAGGAGAAGGGGAGAGAGCCCACAAAGGCATGGGTGGGCGCAGCCTCTCCCGTGCCATCAGGCCTTCACTGCATTCTGGAAAAACCACTCTGTGGTGTGGAAGGGAATGCCAGAGAATGTGAAGCCACACTTAAGCATGCTTGGGGGGCCTGGTCAGTGCCCAGTAGGCTGTCAGCACAGGACCCCAGCGTCCCAAGGCTCCTAGCAGTCCCTGAATGCCTGCTGACGCCTTACATCACACACTGGCTTCCTCTCCTCCGTGTCTCTCCCATTCCTCAAGCGCTTCCAGGTGGGTGAATGCCTCCCTTGAAGTACTTCATTTCCAGGGGAAAATGTGGCCATCTGGTTTCAGCAGTCATTTTCCTTCATAATCTGGTTCAGTATATGTCGAGTTCTGTCTTCCAGCAGAGGAAAGACTTTTATCAGGCATCTAATGTGTTCCTGAAAGTGTGTGCGTAGGGTGGGTGGGCCGGGGGCGGCAGGTAGGAGTTTGAGAGAAAGAGAGACAGAAAGTCTTGTATCCAAAAGGTCAAACTATCGTGTGCTTATTTTACCCCAAAATTCCATTTTTCCTCTTTTACTAAACCTCAAAATTTCACCTCGCAGTTCTCTACTTTTTATTTTTCTGGCCCACTGTTCAGCGTTAGTACTAAACTAACAGTAAATGGAGAAATGAGAGCTGAGAGGGGGAGGCCTGGGTTGCTTTGTGGGCATGGGTCCCCAAGGATGAGCACCATTGGAAAGAGGGACCTATTTAGGATTGTGACAGATTTCACCCCTCCCTGCCTCCTGCCCCAACATATTATATTCTAGAATCAATCCGGCTCTTTTCAGGGGCTTGTTATTTTGTGAGCGTTGTAGCATATTTTGAAAACTCCTACTCTTGTTAGGAGATTCACACGTAAATCTAAAATCCATCATCTGGTGAACGATATAACAGTACAGCTGCACAGGGACAAATTAGTACAGTGAACTTCTTCCAACATTTAATCTCTTTTTATTTGCCATTTGTTATAAAAACGGAATCTTTACTTTACACAAAAGCTACTTTAAAACAGGAAAGTTTACCAAAAACCACTGAATCTCAGGCAAAGGGATTCACCACCAAAATGCAGATTTACTACATGGTAAACCTGAGGGCCAAAAACATTCAACTCACAACATGATCTTATATTTTCTAATAATTCATTACCAGAAGCAAAACCCGAGCACGTACGTGTTTGAGAAAATACGTGACAAAGATAAAATAATAAATGCTAGCTTTCACCGTGAAGCTAACCTAAGCAAATGTTTCCACCCAAGATTGGCCCGTTATTTCACTCAGAGTGAAACATTTGCAGAGCTTTAAAAATATTTCAAACATAAATATTTAGGCTTATACACAACACATATGCACAAACATATCCATTCTAATTCTATGCCCCTTTGTATTTTTTTAAATTGCACCATCTCTGTTAGAGATAATATACAACATGCAGGAGACATTCATAATTGTTTTTCTCAGCAGTGGGGTATTCTACAAGTCAAATGCAAAGCTGAAATATGAATGAAGGTCAACTGGAAGCCATCTCAACTCAGTACGTTAACTCATATATTCTGCATTAATGCTTTAGTGTTGATGAAATTGTTCATATATATATATATATATATATATATATATATATATATATATAAAGTTGAAGAGAATGTAGTCCATTACCAAAGGTACTGAGGAGATAGTTCCCAGTGGATGTAGAAGTGATGGATCAGGAACAAGAGGAAACCAATTAAATAGGACCGCAGGTTTTCACTGCTTTCACATTCGACTGAACATAAGATATAATTATATCCAGGGCATTTCCAACAGTCATTAGTTTATCCCATTTCATGTATATAATGTCTTCATAATTCAAGTGAGGATACAAAATAGCTCCTCCCCCTCCCACCGGCCTTCCTCTTGTTTCCAGAAAGAAATAAACACAGATTTTGATGCAATATACAGTTCTGGGAAACCAAGTGGACTTACAGTTATATTCTCATGCTTTTGGTAGGCATGAGAGATCATTGATTGAATCAGCTCTAAATACTGCAGGGATGGGTAAAGTGGGGCTTCTATATCAGGCATCATTATAGGCCTTGGTTTCCCCCCAAATAAATACACGCTCAAGTACGACTCCAAGTTCTCTAGCACAAATATATTCTGTTATGTACAAGTGCTGACCAAATTTAAGGAGGTGAGTGAGTGGAGAAGGACAACAACATACCTATGCAGTTAGGACAATACGAAGAGAAAATGTAAAGATGGAAGGAGGGTTTTATTGGAAATACAAGGAAATAAAGCTATAAATCCACAGAATAACTGTTTGATTATTTTAATGGTTTCTGAACCCGTCAGTATGCAATATTTTAAACATACAAAATTTACATCATGAAACACATGAAGAACAGAAACAAATATTGTCACTCTCAAACAATAAAATTACGCAGATAACTCACTGCAGCTTACCATAGCACAGTGGTAAGCTTACCACACAAACTGGAGCTACGCCACAGTGCTGAGAGCCTACGGATCTCTACTTACCCTGTTTAACACAAACATTTGTTAAGGGACAGTGAAATACGGTGACATCCCGGGAGAAAAATTAAGACTGAGGATGAAGAATGAAAACACACATCTGTGTGCCCCACAGACATATCTTTATGTAGGTTAGGGAAAGAACACTATACCTCACCAGGAGTGCTCAAAACTGCTCTGGTGTGTGTGTCCCTATGTGTGCACAAGCTTAGCTATGTGCATCTGGGTAGGTCTGTAAATAAAACGAACCTATGCCATTGCTAGCATAAGCCATCAACTTTGTTCTGAATAACATCCACATTGACTTTTTGGAACATGCACTGTGCATTCTTGGAAGTCAAATGCCAACTAAAGTCTCATAATGGGACAAACTGCATTTTCCTCATTGAAAAGCCTCTGAAATGAATTTGAACACTTGCAAAATAGACACTTTGCAAAATAAACACCTGTTCCAAGAGTGCAGTAAAGGTGACATCAAACACCACGTCCTCATGTGTCAAGTGGTGGCCTCACAGTTCATTCCATCAGTGCTGTGTGAATTGAAAAGCTACCTCAACACTGGTATGTAGGATTAAACAGAAATCTAAAAACTATGGCATCAAACAACAAAGCGTGCACCAGTAACTGTACCCCAGTGTTTGGAAAGCAGCTTACAGTATTTATCACTGACCCTGATAGTAATGTGCTTCCAGAAATTGAAAGAAGCGATGAGGAAGATTTAGTCAATGACTTTTGCAGGAGAAGTTATATGTAGTTTGTGAGAATGATAGCCAATCTGAAATTTGCTTCGAAAACTCTTCTTTATGGAGGAGGGTGGGATTTTTCATATTATGGCTAATTATATGGCCAAAACCATTCAGATACCTCTTCGTGTATCATATTCACAGCCAAAACTTAAGATAAATCCTATCCAACTTTGGAATTAGTACGCCTGACAATTTTAGTGTGAAACATTAAAATGGCCATTAACTTACGTTAAAAAAAAGAAAACAAAAAACCCTAGATACAGTCAGAATCTGTTTTCTAAAGTCCTAGATGAAAGAAAGTTTCGTCAGTTAGGCCTGGGTCCCTGAGAACTTGAATGTTCTGACTAAAGGCAAGTTTTGGTAGGAATTAACATTTTTACACTGCTCTGTCTCATTCAGAATAAAAATAACCTTTTAGGCAGCTTCTGGCGTTAATAGATTTATATAATATTATTCAAATTACATTTGATGCAGACAATTCTTTTTTCTGAGCTGCAGTTCAGGGGTGTGTGGCGGGTGAGGGGGGCTGCAGATTTTGCTACAATTTCAAGACTCATCTTCATCTTCCTGGAACAGGCAAAGCAAGACACAACATACCATACATCACAGTTCTATGTTTACAGTACTCTTTATCCATAGTGTTTTCCAGTTTTGTCTGGGTGCAGTTAGTAGGTTACTTCATCATTAACACCCCAAATGAGACAGGCATCATCATGCCTAGACCCGCTGGAGAAAAACACAGTAAAACTGTACATTTTCCCAAAAATGAGTCACTTGATTTTATTCATTTTAAAACATGCATGATAATAAAAGGCTAAACACAAAGCTCTTTATAAAAAAAAAGAGCAGAATGTATTCCAGGAAAGTCAGACAAAGGCATGAGATGAATTTCAGTTAAATGGATCTACTTTGTGAGCTCTGAGAGTTCTTCTTAAATACTGAATAGAGGCCGAGTGTTTTACATTATAATCATATCTAGAGATCATGCAGCTGGAGAAGAAAAGTATTTTGCTTTAAGTCTTAATTTCTCCAAGTGTTTTGAAGTCAGTTTTAAGGAGTCAAATCTGTACCTCTCCCCTCCATCACAGTTTTTGAAGTAATTAAGAATTGTACCCGTACAATAGCACAGCAACTAGGGAAGAGAGAGGTAGATGATGTGGCCATCCTCTTATAAGGAAACCCCCCAAATATTTTAGGGCATGAAACACAAGGCTTTTGTTATCCAAAAGTAATGAGTTGCAGAGTACAAAAACATTCTGGAGCAGAATGCACACAAGTAGGAGACGCGTAAGTAGCCCAAACCAAGCACATTAATAGTAAATTCTTAAAGAAATGCATGTGTTCTCTGTACCTTACAAAAATTATTCTCACAGATTTTGAATCCAAGATTATACAATAGAAAATATTTATATGCTTTACATTTAATATAAAAATTATTAGCAAATAAAAAAGGCTTTGATGATACACAAGAAGAGATTTTAGAGAATACATGAATTTTTAGGAGGCCCTGAGGAGGACATGCCCTAAGCACCCTGTCCTTTTCTATGCAAGGGCCAAAGGCAAGCACTTTCTCAGGGTTCACCACAGTTTTTTTTTGTTTGTTTTTTTTTTAGGGCTCACCGTTGTTGAGAGAAAACAAGATGGAGTAAGACTCGAGCAAGCTGGGACAGGAAGTAAAAATCAAGCCAAGAAGGAATTCTGCCAAGCACAATGCACACCCTGCCTAAAAATATTTAAGAATAAATCATAGAGTGTGGAGTGTACACCAAGGACATTTATATTGATGAATTTATGAGCGAGGTGATAAATACCAAAACAGGAAGTCAGTTAAAACAAGTGTGCAAGTAAGTAAGTAGCGGGGAATTGGGGAGGGAGATGAAAGAATGCCTAAGCTTCAAGGTAAAAACTGCAAGGGAGAGACTCAGGAATTTCATGTCCCCCATGCCACCCTCCAAGTGTACTTCTCACATCTTAATAAGTTAAAAGTCAATGATTCACAAAACTTTTAGTTCAGTGTTAACACTTTTTACCTGTTTAATGTAGGGCTAGACACTGAGTTGCCTTAAAGACATCTGGTTATAGTTAGTCATAATTATTACCCATTTTTCATCGTTATAACTTAGGAAATTTTAGCTCTCGTTTAAAGCCCTGGGGCAAACATTTAAAAGGTATTTCCCCTTTCGGTCAACATTTATCTAAGCACGTCTGCAAGCGTTCTGTTACAGGGAGAGGAAGAGTGTTGAGCAAATTCTCCTCGACAATCAGACAGCTCCGTTTTAGGGACTGACACCCTTCTAGTTCAGGAGGGAGTGTTTCCAGGTAATTACCAATGAGCTCCAGATGAGTAAGGTTCGACAGCTCACCCACGTGAGGGGACAAACTCATCAGGCTATTTTTCCCCAAAAGTAAACACTGCAGCTTTTTGCACTGAAACAGCCCATCTGGTAGCATCTCAATCTGGAAAGGGAAAAAAAGAAGCCAGTGAAACTGGTTTTCCATGGCCTATGATAATGCATTTATTTATTTATACCCCTACCTTTCCCCAAAAACACTTCTAGACATTTACAGGGATACATAGAACAATGATGACACATTCGAAGTAGATGGAAAAGATAAAGGAAAAGTAAGAACATCCTGACATGAAGTCAGCACTGAGACCTACCGTGAACTTCCAAACCCTTGCTGTACATATGGGTGGGCAAAAGACTTGGTTCTAAGCATTCTAACAAGCAGTCTCAAATAAAATCTAATTAGTCACATACTCATTGTCCCTAAGGAAAAAAAAAAACCAACAACAGTATTTCAGGAAAATCGTAATTATTCTTGAGGCGGAGTTACTGTGTAATGTAATGAGCAACATCCTCAAAAACATCGTGAGTACAGACACAAGGCTCTTTCTCAGAGTTTCAGACTACAGACTGAAAACTTTATTCTGTTAAAAGAAAAAAGTCAACAGAAGCAGAAACAGGAAGCTATGATCATATATCATTTCATGCACATTTCTTTCCCCTCTATATACACACTCGTGAATATTTACCCTTCTTCTTGCTCTCTGGCAGTTTCAATTAAATCATGCAACACAAAGAAGTGATTTAACATATGATAAACGCCTGAAATTAGGTCAACTCCTACAGCTGCTCAAAGGAGCTGCCCCCCCTCGTGGTGGGTAGGTTGCACGTGAATTTCTAAGGGAGCCCCATTGCATACATGAAAGATAGTTTATCGGAAAAGACATCCAGAGAAGAGCTGAGAGTAAGCATTCTCAATTCTTGGCATGCCACAGAGATGTGAGTTTGCACCAGGCAGCACTGGACAGCACACGCTGCAATCTACAATACTCCACATATTTATGTACCTGTGGATGGGGCATCTTTTCAACTATGAAGTAATGCAGGCTCCTTGGATCAGGAAGTGGCTTTGTTAGACAAGGGATGAAAGGGGCACTCAGGGGCTCAGTCTGCTCCTGTGTTGGGCTAACATAGCCCCACCGAGCCAGCCCTCTGCTGGAATTTCCAGGACCATCCAAAACTATCTCCTTAGAAGGATAAATACTCTCTACACAAACTAAAAAATGGTCAAACTGCATTCAAACCTGCTCATTATATTGGAAATTACCCTCTCTTCCATTCCCCACAAATACACTCAATGCTGGATATCCCAGAAAACAGATCGAATGATCACCATTGCTAAGAATGACATTCAATATAACTCATCATTGTATGTCAAAATACTAGGTATAAGCAAAGAAAAGATATCTTCCCTCCTATTTCACTCCCCTTCCAAGAATGCAGATGTAAACCCCCACATCCGCGGATTTCAATGTAGACATGTAGCAGAGGGATAAGTGACAGGGGAAATGTAGCCCCTTTCTAATGCAACCTCTTCTGGTCATATACCTGCAGCTCAGAAGTAGGGTCAGCGATGGATAAGTAGAGGAAACAATCTGTCCTCTGCAATGTGCTCAGAGTTGAGAGTGTCCACTGGTGTCTAAACAATGACTTAGGCAAACCAGTTGAATAGAGGGTAGGCTTGGCTCATTTGTATTCAGAAGATGCATGCAGAGATCCTCCTTTTGTGCCAGGCTCCCAGTTAGGTCTTGGGGTTAAAGTGCTGAGAAGACAGATGAGTCTTTAAGGACCTTGGTCTAATGCAGGGTTTTTCAACCTGCAACGTTGACAATTTGGGTGGGATAATTCCTTTTGTGGGGGGTGCCCTGTGTATTATACACTGTTTAGCAGCATCCCGGGCCTCTGCCTACTAGATGCCAGGACTATGCCCCTCCTCAGCCATGATAATAAAAAATGTCTTCAGACAAAAGTCTCTTGTGGGGCAAAGTGCCCCCATTTGAGTAGCACTGGACTAATAGGTAGGAAATACTAGACAATTTTGTGAATAATTAGTCTCTGCTGGGAAGGAGTGTCCTGCTCAGGGCTGTATCAGGGACTCCCCCATCTCCCTTCTTCAGTCAGCTTCCAGATCCCCAGCAAGTACCTTGTTTTGTTGGATTCCTTTCCACTGAATAAATACCCTGAAGCCATTGCCATCACTGCCCTGCCTGGCTATCAGCACACTACCATGTTCTCACCAAATCTTCTTTCAAATTTCTGAATCTGTGGGGCACCTGGGTGGCTCGGTTAAGCACTGGACTCTCGAGACTGGCTCAGGTCATGATCTTGCTGTCGTGATCTCACAGGTGTGAGATCGAGCCTTGCGGCTGGCTCTGGGTTGAGCATGGAGCCTGCTTGGGATTTACTCTCTGTCCCTCCCCCGCTCACCCTCTCTCTCAAAAGAAACACACGTTCAAATCTCTAAATTTGTCATTTTTAGTGACTTCTCAGCCCTCAAAGACCGGAGGAGGATTTCACAATGTGATGGGAGTGAGCTACTGGGCCAGGCCCTCATCAGAGGCCTCTCAGCTGTGCTGCTGTCATGAAAGTGAGTCAAGAGCTGTGGTTAGTGGTGCTGCTTCCTGAGTGCCAAGTGTCCACCTCAGGGACTTTCTCTCAGAGTCAGCGTCCAACTGAGGCACAAGACCCTTATTCACCTGCCTGACTTGAATTATGTTAAAGGAGGCTGGGGAGCTGTGTTAAGAGACTCAAGACTTTCTTTCAATTAAGCAATTTTATACTGAAAAAAAAAAATCTACTTACAAACCTTTAAACAGTTTGCCCTGAAACTTACAAAAACACCAAAAATATTTTTCCTGGGCCAATTCATTTTATAAAAAATGTTAGATAGCCTTTCTTTATACTGAATTCATGTAACATGCTCTTTACTAGACAATATACACAAGCCAAAAACGAAAAACTTACCCTAATGGACTACTGATTTCTTTTATAAGATCATAAGAAATGTTTTCAGGGTATCAGGGAGATGATAAACTTTATAAACAGAATGTTTTTATAGAACTATAATACACACACACACACACACACACACACACACACACACACACACAGCTATGAAATCAACTGAAAAAAAGACAGAAATGAATAGCTACATCCTAGAATTCTCCAGCAACAAAGTATCTTTAACAAAATGTAGTAGAGCCCCCAGAACATCCAGGGAAGGAAGGTCCTCCTCCTGTGTCTATTGTGGACACCGACAATGAGTACTCCCCTGTTTCCAGAGGCTGAGACCTTATTTCAGAATCCATCTCAATGTCAGATTCCCCCCCCACCCCCCGTTTTTTTCCCTGGCCATTGACACATCATCTCAGAACATGCTAACCAAATCCATAAAATCCAATTGTTTCAGGAAACAGAAATGAAATATTTCCATTTCTAAGGAGTGATGTCAAAAACGAGTACTACCGCATAAACGATTTTCTGAAGGAATTTCTACTGCCAGCCAGAAGTCTTTGCACTAAGAAAAGACATGCATTAAATTCACAAATGTCGAAATTGGAAGACCTGGGTGCAAATTGGAGTGGTTTTTAAGATTTGAGCGAAACTATGAAGTCCTCCTTTTCCTTGCTTCTCCATCACCTTCGGTACCATCATAATGCAATCACACTTTGGCATTGGGTTAGAGGTAGACGCTGCCTCCCCTTCTCCCATCCCCCGTGCCCACACAGCACTGCTTCCCACGTAACAGCATTTGGTCTGACGCGCCTGTGATGCGCCAGAGCGGGCGCTGGAACACCTGCCTTCCACCCTAGGTCCATCACTAGGAGCTTCAGACTTCAGGAACATCATCCTGAGCGTCAGTTTCAGTTTCGGTAAAATGAGGGTAATAACTAGAGCAGAGGTTGGAGAAGTCTCTCTCTACATGAGCAGGCCAGTAAATATTTTAGGCTTTGTGTTAAAAGGCAAAACTGAAAATATTATGTAGATACTTTTACAACAAGACAGAAAAAATTTCATACATTTTTCAGTTATTAAATTCAAAATATAATAACTGAGTATAAATTTTTTGTAGTATAGGCCCCTGAATGAGAAAAATGGAATTTATTCATATGGACAAATTAAATGAGATTTGAATTTCATATAATTTTCATGTGAGACAAAATGTTATTTAAAAAAAATTTCCCCCAACCATTCAAAAATTTTAAAAACCATACGTAGGTCAAGGCTATATAAAAATTCAAAAAGCAGGCCTGCGTGGGTGGCACAGCTGGTTAAGCGTCCGACTCTTTTGTTTTTTAATGTTTATTTTTGAAGGAGAGAGAGACAGAGCATGAGTGGGGGAGGGGCAGAGAGGGAGGGAGACACAGAATCCAAAACAGGGGCCCCAGGCTCTGAGCTGTCAGCACAGAGACCAAAACGGGCCTCAAACCCACAAAGCATGAGATCATGACCTGAGCCAAAGTCAGCGGCTTAACCGACTGAGCCACCCAGGCACCCTGTGTCTAACTCTTGATCTTGGCTCAGGTCATGATCTCACAGTTTGTGAGTTTGAGCCCTGTGTCTGCCTCTGCGCTGATAGTGTGGAGCCTGCTAAGGATTCTGTCTCTTCTTCTCTCTGCCTCTCCCCCTGCTTGTGCTCTCTTTCTCTCTCAAAATAAATAGATAAACTTAAAAAAAAATTAAAAAGCATTCTTAGCTCAAGCGGTGGGTGGGTTTTGGTCCCAGGCTGTAATTTGCCGACTCGGTGGCCCATGGTGTTCCTCTAAGATATAAATCTTCATTTCTTGTGTTTAATTTATATTCCTACTTCTAAATCATAACTGATTAAGTCTTTTCATGGGGTTTTATTTCTTGATTGTACCCTCCCAACCCTTCTAAATGCTGCAATCAGAGCCTCTTTTGAAGGAACCAGTTCAAGTCTGACCCCAGCTACTATCCAATGAACTCAAACTTGAACTTGACTCGCAAACTTAAAAGCATTCTCCATTCTGACGCACCTTCTAAATGCTCTCATCTCTTATTGCATCTGAGCCTGCCTGTTGTAATCCTCTGCACATGACCTCTGTCCTTTTACATTTCCCCACCCCCCTGTCCTCAGGAACACTCCTCTCAAGAGTTACTGTAAAAAAGGACATCTTGGGGCGCCTGACTGATTCAGTCAGTAGAGCATGCACTCTTGATCTTGGGGTTGAAGTTTGAGCCCTACACTGGGTGTAGAGATTACTTCAAAATAAAATCTTGGGATGCCTGGGTGTCTCAGATGGTTAAGTATCTGACTCCTGATTTTGGCTCAGGTCATGATCTCATGGTTCACAGGTTTGAGCTGCACATTAGGCTGTGCCCTGGCCGGGTGGAGCCTACTTTGGATTTCTCTCTCTCTCTCTCTCTCTCTCTCTCTCTCTCTCTCTCTCTCTCTCCCTGCCTCTCCCCTGCTTGTGCTCCCTCCTTCTCTCTCAAAAGAAATAAATTAAAAAATAAAAAAAAAAACTAAAATATTTAAGAGTATCTTGCTCAAATACGTTTGGTAAACGTTGCATGTCATGTCTCTCTTAGAGAAGCACAATGCATATTCAAATTCTAAAGGCTCTGAGGAATCCTGCAGCAAAAAAATATGACAAAAAGAAGTGTTTAGTGCTCTGTGTGGTAACACTGATTACTACCTTGTGGAAGAAACTCTAGAGTGCCCTCTCTGGGAATGTCTGTCATTTGGGGGATGCCCAGTATCTTCAATGTCTGGAGAATTCCCTACCTTATCTTGGTGGGAAGCAGAGTCCACTTCCCACTGGGGGGACTGACAACACCAGATTCTAGTGTTCCCAGCTCCCTTACAGCTTGAGTGTGGGTGGGCATTCATAAGCTCTCAGACTTGGACTTTAAATTGGGGCTCCTGTCACAAAGCAGCAGAAACCATGAAGAACCTATTTTGTGGGAGGGCAAGGGGTGCATTAGCAGCAGCATCTAATTTTCAGGGGCAATGCTGTGCCCAGTGCTGGTATGGTCAACGGCAGGGTATCCTCACCATTTTGCTTTTGTGCTATAATTTTGGCCTTTTGGCTATCTAACTCTATGCTTGATTGCTTTCCAAGCTCAATTATTCAGCCTTTTCAGTGATAATATGACATTTCAATAAATGTCTTTTCTAGTAAACCACAGAGAGTATTTGTTGCCTCCATCCATGAACCTGGTATACTCCCCAACTTTTTAGAAGAGTATTTTAAAACCTCTTCCTTCAGGAATCTTTACTAACTTCTATTCCAAATGGAGAGATCAACTACATTTCTGAGACTATGCATACCTAAATATTTATGCATCCAATTTGATGTTTTATTTTCTAATTTTAATAAATATTTTGGTCTACCTCATAGAATCTTAAGAATTTCAAAGTTAGAAGGAAACTTGAAACTGAAGCATGAATCCCTGATTCCCTTTAACAATATTCCTACCAATATTGACGACCCATATCTGACAGTTTTATTCATAAGAAAACCAGGGCACCTGGGTTGCTCAGTTGGTTAAGCATCTGACTCTTGGTTTCAGGTCAGGTCATGACCTTATGGTTCATGAGATTGAGCCCCTCATTGGACTCTGTGCTGACAGTGCAGAACCTGCTTGGGATTCCTTCTCTCTCTATTTCTGCTCCTCTCCCACTCATTCTCTCTCTCTCTCTGTCTCTCTTAAAATAAATAAATAAACTTAGAAAAAAAGAAGAAAATAAAAATCATTTCTCCCTTCTCAAAGGTTCAATTTTTGGACAGGATTTCGGGAAACATGAGAAATCTTTTCCTGCTTGTCTTGGTTCAAACACTCATGGTTACTTTCCAGAAGATTTCTTTTCTATTAAGTGTTCCAAATATTTAAAGACCAATATCATGGACTATTCTTTTCCCTTCCCTCCCCAATATTTCCTATTATTAGGCTGTTCCATCAGAGAACTTTTCATCTCTCTGGCTGCTGTCTTCTGAGTGAGTTTCACTTTCTCCATATCCTGATTAAATAAGTCTCTTCAGAGTTCTGAGGACAGTGTCCTTCAACCATTCAAAGGTGTCATGGTCATTGTTATGGCTCTGGGATGCTTAGCAATTGCTGATTATCAGACTTCTTTAAAAAAAAATTTTTTTTTTTGAGAGAGAGAGAGACAGACAGACAGACAGCATGAGTGGGGAAGGGTCAGAGAGAGAGACACAGAATCTGAAGCAGGCTCCAGGCTCTGAGCTGTCAGCACAGAGCCTGATGCAGAGCTTGAACTCATGAGATCATGACCTGAGCTAAAGTTGGATGCTTACCTGACTGAGCCACCCAGGTGCCCCTGGTTATTAGACTTCTGAGACAACCCAGCCTAAGATATCATTCTACTTTGGCCATAAACTTCCTTCACCATAGGACTTTACATGTCAACCAAGTATCCTCCCTAACTCAAAATAAAATGTGTCTGATACTCACACCTAGTTTTTCTTTCACATATGGTAAAGAAGTCAATAAACTTGGTGTCAAAAGTACCAATGGTCTTAAGGTTTTATTACATTAAACTAGGAAAAAACATTAACCTGCCTATACATTTAAGTAATTCATGGCCAGCTAACAATTTAATCAGCTTCAACTTTCAAAAATTCATGTAGTGATATAACTATACAACAACTAGTGGAACCAGTGCCTTTCAAAATAATTATTAATAATTTTTTAATTTGTGATTTAACAATGGAAAAGTATAGCCAAAATATTAATATTAATCTACTGCATAATTAAACAACACTAATGATAAATCTCTAGGCCTGTAGTTTTCAAAGTATGGTCACCACACCAGCAGCATCAGCTTCATCTGGGATTTTGTAGAAATGCAAACTCTTGGACCCTACACACCAAACCTGCTGAATCAGAAACTCTGGGAGTGGGGTCCAGCAATCGGTGTTTTAACAAGCCCTTCAGGTAATTCTGATGAACACTGCTAATCTAGATCAACCCTCAAGGAGTTTTACAGCCTCCTAATCCTTTAAGTCCTTAAGATTTCTCAGGGGCGCCTGGGTGGCTCAGTCAATGGAGCGTCTGACTCCTGGTTTCAGCTCAGGTCATGATCTCACGGTTCGTGAGTTCGAGGGTGCTTGGAATCCTCTCTCTCCCTCTCTCTCTGCCCCTCTCCTTCTCACTGTCTCTCTCAGAATAAACTTAAAAAAAAAAAAAAAAAAAATAAAAAAAAAAAAAAAAGACCTGAAGATTTCTCATTTATTTTAGAATGGGCTCTAGCTTTTTGCATATATGAGTCAAATCAATTTTCTAAAAATCGGCATGAATTTTGCTCTCATTCCTCAACTTTTTGGTGTTTTTCCAATCCATGGTTTTTGAAAATAATGTCTGGTGATTAATATGTTTATTAGCCAACAGCATGCTCCTAGCTATATTTAGCATGAAATGCGAATTACAAAAAGTCTAAGAGATAGTACATTTTTTGGGTGGGGTAGGAGGAAGTAGTTCCCATTTTCTACTACTGGAAGACCACTTTCGTCTTTTGGCAGACCTGATTTCTGAAAGATTATTTTTCTTCTTCCCATAGGGGCATTACCATCACTCTCTTGCCCTTTTGGCTAGCATGATTTTTTTTTTTTTTTCTTTTTCTTCCTCCTTCACATTTTAACCTAGGAAACTAGTCATTTATTTTGTTTTTTCTTGTTTCAGTGAAGTCAAGTTTTCCTTAACTTGGCTTTACTGTTGCAAATTATGGTTCATTTTTAAAGTATGGATGCTGGAAAAAGCTTCTAAGAAGCCCTAGTGTTGCATTATAGAACCAGGCCTTTCATTTGGAATTGTCTTTCTAGACATGCATGTAGATTTCCAGTTTTTCTTACTGCATCACAAAAAAGATTTATGAATAATTCATGATCCCAGTATTTTTAACAAAAAGTTCTTCTCCTGTGACAGATTTGGAAATCTAAAAACTTTTATGAAGCTTCCTAAATACTTAAGATCTTTCCAGAATGAAAAGTAAGCTCTGTTACAATTAGTTTAAAATACTTCAGCTGTGATGTTTATGTGAAAAATGGGGACAGAGAATAAAGAGAACATTCGTTGAGCATTACTATGTGCTAGGAACTGGTGCTTTAACTAGATAAATATAAATATAAATATAAATAATATAAATATAAATATAATTTTTTCTTCTATAAAATCTCCATGACAACTTATCAGTTAGATTAAAAACTGATGCTCAGTGTTTTGGTAATTTGCCCACGGTCACATATCTGGTAAGTGGCAGACAGGCCAGGCTCAGAGGATGCTTAGTATGACTACAAATCCATTTTCTTTATGCGCATTATATGCTACAACAACAGACACTGAAAACACAAGCTAAATGAAGGCAAGAACAGATATACTTACATTGTTGTTGGTCACGGCAAAGTACTGCAAATTACTCAGATACTGGATTTCTTCTGGAATGAAGGTCAGATGGTTATAGCTTAGATCCAAATAATGTAGTTTGGTGCATAGGAAAAGCTGTAGGGGCAGATTCTCAATATTATTATGGTTCAAAGAGAGCTGCTCTAGATTAGATAGTGCCCCAATCTGGGCAGGAATATAAGCAATGTTATTGTGCCACAACTTTAAGCAGGAAAGGTTCTGGAGATGCTGAAAGCTAATAATCTCTTCCACGGTTTTAAGGTTATTTTCTTTTAGGTCTAACTCATGCAAATTGTTCAGACTGAAAATGGAGTGTGGGATGCGTTCCAGGTCACAGCTGATAAGCTCTAGGCTTTTCAGATTGACCATCTTTTTCAAGTTGTTCAACACAACCAGCTTGCTTCCCTCATTATCAAGGGATAACTTCTGCAGAGAAGGCAGGAGGTCTGTAATGACTTGAGGGATCCGGGAGAGGCTGCTCTTCAAGTAGAGGGTCCTCAGGTTTTTTAAGTCCTGAAAGCCCTCCAATTGCATGGTACTCAACTGCTCAGGTAGAACACAGCCTGACAGATAAAGTTCTTTCAGATTCCTCAGGTGAAATACCCAGCGTGGGATCTTCCCCATTTCAGTAAATTTCAGGCGGAGGATTTTTAAATTCTCCTCCAGAAAGCCCAGCGCTGGATGGTCTACCACCAGGGATGAATGGTACACATGAAGCTCCTTGAGGTTGACCAGCTGCGAGACTGTGGAGGGCAGCTTGACCTCCGGGATAAGCTCCAGGCTGAGCACTTCGATTTCTGTCAGCTCAAAGACGTTGTCTGGAAGACCATTTAGCATAAAAAGGTGCAGTTCTACCTTGTCCTGGGAATTTTTCACAAGCTTACTTTTCAGTTTCTCAACCGTCCATTCGTTATTGAGGTTGATCTGTTTTAGTTTGTTCTCACTGACCTCCGAGAGGAATATGGAGAAGCGTTTGGAATAAAGAGGATCATACTGATCGGCCAGATGGAGGATGAAGGCGAAGTCATTCTTGACGTCAGGGATATCGCTGTAGTTGCTTTTCTCTCTCAACGCCTCAAAGGAATATTGCTTCAGAGAACTCCTCAGCATCCACCACAAGCTGTAAGAGGAGGTGAGACCGTAAAGTATAACCAAAATGACATAAAATGAAGCCAGGACCTTAAATATTTCTGCCAAGGAGTAGACACACTGGTAGCGCTTGTATCCTGTAAAAGCCTGCACGTCAATGGAACAGTCGATTTCCAGAGTGATGTAGGTTAGGAAATATGGAACATAAGTTATGATGAGGATGAACAAAATGACTTTCACTATGATCTGCTTCAGATACACTCTATAAATGATGTCCTTCTGCTCCACGTGCATGCGGAACCTTTTCACTTTTTCAAAGATGGCTTTGGCCTGTTCGCCCTCCTTCTTGTCCAGGACGCTAGAAGTTGGGCTTTCTATGCTGGCCGACTCCAAGCCAGGCTGTGGGTAGGGCAATGACTGCTTGCTGGAATCGACGTCGGCTGAACACCCTGAGGACGAAAGCAGAACCTTGGACTTGGAGAGTGTCAGGGGCCTCACCGACTGCTCGGCCACTGTTTCGGACAGGGCACGCGTGGTCCACGGGGAGTCGAAGCACTTGTGAAGGATGGCCACAAAATGCTCGAGCCTGGAGCTGGTACTCGGGTAGTGAAGCCAAAAGTTGCTGCAGGCTGCAAAGATGAGTGTGTGCAAGAGCACCAGGTAGGGGAAAAACTTGGCGAACCAATGGAGCTGTTTCTCATAACAGACAGCATCGATGTAGGAGTACTGCTGTCGGTGGAGGTCATTCTGGATTCTGAGGGGAAGTGGGAGCGGTGTCCCAGGATCAGAGGATGTGTTTGCGCTGGCTTTCAGGAGGTCCCAAGGCACGGCACAGTGATTGTCAAATTCCACCTTACATGGAAGACAGCACAGAACCCTGCTCTGTGTAAGCTGGAGAGCTCCGGCCAGCACGGCCACCAGCAGCATGATCAGGGTAATGTAATACCAGAAGACGTCCCACCATGGTTTTAGGATGTGATAAGATGACTGGGCGTCTGCTAAACATTTCAGCTCTGTTAGCGTAATCATGACTTTCCCTTGTAGGAGTACGGAAACTGGGAGAGGAAAATAAAAAGAAAAACCACTGAAGGGAGTATCCAAAATAAGCATTTAACTCTAATGCTTGTAGGTACCCAAGTAGGATCTAGCTCAGGGACCAAATCTGGGAGGCAGGGCTGATCAAAGGATATAAATGTCTTCTGGTTTCATTTGAAACCTTAGGCCATCCCAACTGTGCACTATAAAGTCCTTCAGATGAGACACCATTTGGTGATAGCCAGACTGGATCTATAAAGGTATTTAGGGCAGATTGTGAAGCAACTATCTAGTTTCCTCCTGGATCTTGACTCCATCCCAAGCTATTAAAAACCAGAAGCCATATTTTATGCCTTCCAAATGGTCTGAGTAAGCTCTTTTCCACATCCTGTCCCACACCTGGCGCATCAGTTACAGACTAAGAGTTGTGTTTCAACCACCATGGGGAACCTCTTTTGAGCAAGCACTGCTTTACGTAGTTATCCCTTAGGATTAGAGGGATCTACCAGTTCTACATTCAAAAACAAACTGTGAGCTAATGCATTATCTCCTTTCCCCCCAAGCTCTTGCTTTGTAACTTAAGTTCATGTCCAACTTAGAGTATTTAAAAGCTGATGAACCAACACTAGTGGCTTAACACGGGATAGGGAAGAAAAACTCAGAACATGCAACTATGGGGGGATTCTCACTCGCGGTTAATGTTTTGATGGCAAGTAACTAATAGGATAAATAAGTAAGAGTATACTCTATTACTAAATTATTTTTTGCCTCAGAAAAACAAGAGGTAGATTTTCCATTTTCACATTAAAAAGTATTCAGGCAGTGTTCCTTACAGAAATGACTTATGTAACGTTCAACCTTATATAAATCAATTGTTTAAAAAATTGCTAATTAGTAAAATCCGGACAACCTATAAAATGGCACAGAGTACGAGAAATAAAAAGGAAACATTTGGGTCTAATAACATATCTAGTAAGAAAAAAGAAGAAAAAAATCACAGCAGCATGGTTTTTTAATGGATAAAGAGAATGAACCAAATCGTCTCTAAGGACACCGCCAGCCTCAAAGTTTATGGCTGAATTTGTCCCCTTAAAGGTCCTGAAAGTTAAATTCATTTAAGACATGAGACTGAAATTGCAAAAGAATATAAACACAAATAGAGATAAGGGTATTCAGACAGCGGTTATTCATTCAACAAAGAACACAAGTCAACATTGACCAAAATAAAGTACTTTAAATATTTACACTTACTGGATGAAAAAAAAAAGGAATCCAATAAGTTGACTGTGCTTCAATCAGGAGGCCGACACCTTTTGAAATTTCTTAGACACACCATCTCTGTGTTTGTCTTCATTCTGTGAGAAAGCACAGATATCTTATAATAGCTGCAGTATTTCAAACAAAATTGGAAACACTGTCTTCAGTGACCCTCTCCATCATAAGACACGATATGGCAAATAGATTTTCATAGATCAGTTTACTTTTCACACTACAGGACATTTTGGCAAGGTATATATAGACAGGACCCCACCCATATATGAGATCATACTCAGCCCCTGAATTCCTTTAGGTTACAGAGAAGTTTCCACAGAAACTTGGATGTTAATGTATTTTAAAATGCCATATTTACATCACTTAGATGAACACTTAGCTTTTCCAAGCAGCCTACATATGTTAATTTCTCTCATTCAGTCCTCATACACAGTTGGTCTTATTTGCATTTATCAGATGGCCTGTCAAACCATGTAGTTTCTGCATCCTAATTTAAAACCACACATCTCTCCAAATAAGACTCGGTGCTCTTCAAATTTAGCCTGATTTCATTAGATTTCATTAGAAATAGTCACAAGTTAATAACTTTTGAAGACACAGCTCAGAAATTTGCTGAAATTCTCTGAAGTTATATTATTAAATGTAGCTACCCTTTATATTAGCTTTTTTTAACCTTGTAGGTTAATAAAAGCCATTCTTAGCATCTACTTCAATCACTTGCAATAATTTAAATTACATATATATCGATCAGTTTGAAATATGAGGATATTCTAAAACATATAAAAATTTTAATTTGGTATGAAAATTGCCTATGGAACTTCTGAAGAGCTGCTGGGAATGTTTATATAGTTGCCCCAAAGATACAATCCTTTTTGGGTTTATCAAGTACTTGAAACCCAGCTCAGTGTACTAACTCCAAATTGCATTTAAGATATTTTCAGTAATACTCTTGTGATCTCGTCATTTTCAAAGATCAAAAAGTTGGACATGCCTGAAATTTACTTTGGATTTACCAATCCATGTGCAAAGCCTACTTTATAACTGCCATCCCATATCAAATTATTTTGCAGGCCAGAAAGCAGAGTTAGTGTGTACGACAATCTAGCTGTGACTAATTCATAATTAGATACGACCAACGGAGTATGAGTTTCTCATTCACAATTCATTTTTAAAAGGCTTACAACATATGATACACACCTGCATTTATGTGCAGCAAGCATGATAAAATATTTGAGGTGTGAAACATTTTACATATTCTTCCATTGCACTGGGTCTATAATATATCCGGAAAGAATATATTACATAATTCCAGAGTGCTTCTCAGCCATCCCGATATTTATTATGCAACACAGTTTCCTTTAAATATTGTAAACACATTTTCTACTTTAAACACAGTATTTCTATGAAACAGAGTCACAAACCTCCAACTATAGTACTATTTTAAAACACATATTTTAAAATAATCAATATGAGAAACTACTATAACTAATCCATTAGAGAACCACAACTAACTACAGGTTTACTATATTTATACTAACTTAAATTTATTAGTAAAGAATTTTTTCCTGTTTGCCTTTTTAAGAACTATAAATTTTCCCTCTAATCACCTAACTCAGATTTTCATTGAGGGGTTCCTTGTCAATAAGAGCAAATAAAAATATACTGTTTAAAATCTAATATCTGTCTTTCTACTTTCAAAGCACTTTCATTTACGTTAATTTGTTTCATATAATAAACCATTAGATATATTATTAGTCTTCACATTTTAAAACATGGAAATAAAGCAGGCCCAGAGGAGTTATCCTGTCTAAAGCGACAAAACTGGCAAGAAATAGTTCCAGTTAGAATGGAGGTCTTCAGACTCAAATCTCAAGCCTCGTCCACACTGGAAACAAGATCACATTGTCATTAAATCCAATTAACTGTGCCACTCAGTTCTCTCAAAGATTAAAGAAATAGCTAAATATTTATCTCTTTTCCCCAATTGCAGTGGACTAAATATTTTGTCCCCCTAAAATACATATTTTGAAATCCTAACCCCCAAAGTGATAGTATTAGGAGGTGAAGCCTTAGGTCATGAGGGTGGGATTAGTGCCTTTATAAAATGGACCCCACAGGGCTCTCTTGCCCCTTCCACCATTTGAGGACACAGCAAGAAGGTGGCACCTATTAACTAGGAAGTAAGATCTCATTAGAATCTGCCAGTGCCTAGGTGCACCTGGATGCACCATTGGTTAAACGGCCAACTTCAGCTCAGGTCATGATCTCACAGTCTGTGGGTTCAAGCCCTGCATCGGGCTCTGTGCTGACAGCTCAGAGCCTGGAGCTGCTCTGGATTCTGTCTCCCTTTCTCTCTGCCCCTCCCTCCCTCATGCTCTGTCTCTCTCTCTCTCTCAAAAATGAATAAACATTACAAAAATTAAAAAAAAAAAAAAAACAACCAACATCTGCCTGAGCAGTGCCTTGATCTTGAACTTCCCAGTCTCTAGGAACTGAGAAATAAATATGTCTGCTGTTTAGGTCACCCAGTCCATGGTAATTTGTTATAGCAGCCCGAACAGACTAAGACATCAATTTACCCCAACAATTGCATTGTAACTTGGTTCTATTTTAGTCTTTTGAAAAACAAAAGATGTAAATGTACAGTTTCCTGCAATGTCCCCTATAACATAATATATAATCTACTTTCTCAGCTGAACTTTTTCTACCAAACATTTTCCACTGAACTAAGATTCAATGTATAAATAGATAGCATCCAAATCTAATGATGCATGAAAAGTCTCAAGCATTCCTATATATTAAATGATGTTAACTTTTTCTAATGGAAGTTTTTAACTCGAGAGCTAGAGCATAGCTGTCCTTTGTCATTACAAAATTTAATTCTGTTTGTGTGTCTAGGAAATTTTTTCCAGACCATATTTTTGCAAACAATGAGGATTCAATCTAAATCAGATCTCTATTTCTAATATACAAATGCACTAAATCAGTTCAAAGACACAATGTTAAGAGTAAAGGATTTTGTGGTCCTAATCCCATTCCTTTAGCTTTTAAACCTCATTAAGAAATCATAAAAGCTTTTCAAAGCATATGAATTCATTTGACAATCTCACCCCAAAGTCTCTAGGATTGAAACAAAAACACTCAAGTTAGGCATCTTGTCTTCCCACTAGTCCTTATTTTACTTTGAAAGCTTTTCCAAAATAACCAGTGAAAAAATAAACAAATGATGATCAGATGGTATTTAGAGTCATTCTATGCAGAGAACTGGACACTACTTCAAAGATCTCTGTCTCTGACCCCAGGCAGGATATAACCAAACAATTCAAAATGGGGTTTCTCTCTGCTCTAACTGCAAATTGATTTAGAGATTGCCTTATATCCCTTCAAAATGTTTAGTACTACTTCTCAACAAGAGGTTTCTTGGGTCTAACGTATATCCAACTGAAGTTTAAATTCACCTCTTGGAGCTCTCTCTCTGGGAAATAATGTGTCAGTACCCCCGATAATTTGTTCCATTTCTTCAGACTAAATAACCCCTTGAACCGTTCTTCAGAGATCTGATGATTGTTCAGCATTTCTCAAGTACTTAAATGATCACTAGCAAGACACATGATATGCCAGCTTATGTCCCTTACCAGTTGCTTCAGATCTTGTCAGTGGAGTAATTTTCAAGTGACAAACACCCTTTCCAAATTTAGTTGTAGTTTTGAGACTTCCTAGAAGGAATTAAGATTTACATAGTAAAGTGTATCTTCAACATTAATGCTCATAAAAATCATTGGAGAGTGTATTAAATCGCAGAGTGGTAGGTCCCACCCTCAGAGTTTCTGATTCATTAGGTCTGAAGTAGTCCTCAAGAATGTGTCTAACAAATTTCTAGTTAATGTCGATGCTTCCAGTAGGTAGAGTAACCATTTTTTGAGAATCTAAGACAGTGGTTTTCAGTTTTGGCTTCACATTAGAACAACCTGGAGCAGTTTAAAAAACCTCAAATCCAGGGACACTTGGGTGGCTCAGTCGGTTGAGCATCTGACTCCTGATTTCAGCTCAGGTCATGATCTCAGGGTGGTGGGATTGAGTCCTGGCGGGAGGTGGGGGGCGGGGGGAGTCCATTCTGAGTGTGAAGCTGGCTTGAGGTTCTGTCTCTGTCTTTCTCCCTCTGCCCTTCTCCCCCACTTGTGTGCACTCTCTCTGTAAAACAAAAACAAAAACTCAAATCCAAGCCCTTCTCCTATGATTGGTCAAGCAATTCAACTGGTCTAGCTGAGATCAGTACTTTTTGTTTGTTTGTTTTCTCCAAATTTCCCCAGGAGGAGAAAGCTCACCAGACAGACTGACAATGAAATACCTGGGGAAAGTACTGTCCTTTTAACCCTTCCTGGAAGTTTCACTAGGTATCTAGAGTGCCTCCCCCTCTCTGCAGACTACGAGTAACAGCTACCAGAAACTCCACAAACTCTTCAGAGACCTGAGACCCCAGGTGTGCGAAGCAGTAGGTCAGAGAGTCATTGAGCTATAGAGATTTGCAGGGTGGATTTGAAGAGGAATCAGAAACAACAGAACCCAGCCAAAAGGTATTTAAATTGCGTAGGCTGGAAGCAATGAGGGAAAATTTTGCAATGCACTGGAAAGAAAGCAATGAATGAAATTGCCACTGTAAATGAAAATTCAACACCATTTAGCAACATCAAACAGAGGGGTCCATGGAGAAGCAGGAGTCAAATGGATTCACATTTTGAGTCTATGGTATTACAGTATCCTCCACAGTTTCTAGCATGTGGTGTACGACAAATATTTGTACAATAAAAAATTGAACATATCAGAAGGCAGGAAATAATATGGTCAGATGTTAGGCAGGGTATATCTAAGGTAATTGGGCATTTCCTGAGAGAGACTAGAACACAGCCACATGTAGACAGGAAGGATTTGGGCTAACTCTTCTGCATATTCTAAAGCCTAACAGCTTAAAAAAACAATAGTGTTTTATTTCTCATGATTCTGTGGGTGGTTCTTTCACTTCATGGTACTGGCTGGCACAAAGTGGCTGGAAGGTCCAGAATGTTCTCATTCATCAGGCGGGGTAGCTGGAGCTGCCTGCTGGCTGGCACTTTCAGTGAGACTCCTCATGGCTGTTTCAGGGTCCTCACATAGACAGTGGTTGGGTTCCAAGATGGTGCATCCCAAGCACGAAGGTGAAAAATTGCAGTTCTTTTATGGCCTGGCTCTCAAAGCTACGGTGTCACATCCACTCCACTCTATCAGCCAAAGGAACCATAGATCCAGCCCAGATTCCAGGGAATGGGAAACGTCACTTCTCAATGGGAGGGGTGGCAAAGGATGGGCAGCTCTGCTTAACCTTCCCTGGTCTCTCTGCCCACAAACGTTGTGAAGTCCTCCTACATGCAAAGCACACTCACTCTCTTCCAAGCCCCTAAAAATTTCGTCCAACTCTGGTATCGAGTTCAGGCTTGAAGTCCAGGATCTTGTCGTCTAAATTAAGTAGAGGAGGCTGTGGGACAACATTCTTAAGGTCCTTGGAAGCCCTGTTATCTAGTTAAGAAGTCCCAGGAGGCACAGACTTACATCTTTTAGAAGTCATAATATAGGGTCTTGCCGCTATGCCCTTGCTTTCATTTGTACCTTGAGATTAAGTTTTATTGGCAGTATTGCTCTGGATCGGTTCTTTCCACCTGAGGCCATTTCTTACTTTGAGTACCTTTTCACTGAGTCGAGAAGCAGGGAATGAGAAACAGTTTTATTTACAACCCTAGAAAATTCTGGATTGGAAACACATCCTCTAAAGTCTACTTAAAATCTGAACAGTTTCTTCTTTAATTCATCTCTCTTTTGCAATACTTTGGTCATGAGTGGTTAAAAAAGTCATTTGACGCTTCCAACATTCTGCTAGAAAATCCCCTAAGCTGGATATACAAATCCATTGGGTTCATTTTCCATCTTCAGTGTTATTGGAGATACAAGTCTTGTCGGTTTTCCTGTCAGTATGAAACAAGGGTACTGTTTTATATCCTCAAAAAGCAATTTCTTCATCGCCCTACCAGCTACCATTAATAGTTGTCTTACTTCCCTTCAGACCTTCACTGTCACCTGGTCTCAAAGCCAATGCCAGATGTTTTGTCACGGCAGCACCTCACTTCTGGGTACAAATTTTTGTTTTAGTTCTTTACTGCTATGCCAAAAAAAAAAAAAAAAAAATCCGAAACTTCGTGGCTAAAACAACCATTTATCATTTCTCATGATTCTGTGGGATGATGAAGCAGTTCTTCTGTTTCACATGGTGTTGACTGGAATGCTGGGAGCGCTGTAAGTTCTAAAACGCCTCAGTCACAGGACTGGCATTTGGGTTGTCTGCTGGTCTACAGCTCAGCTTAGGCTAATGACCAGAGGCCCGGCCACTACTCCATATGGCTGTTTAGGCTGCCCCACAGCAAGGCAGCTAAGTTCTAAGGAACACTGCAAGCACACAATAGCAGAAGCTACACACTTCCTTAAATTCCAGCCTTAGAAATAACTCCACACTATCTCTGCCATGTTTGAGTGCTCAAAAAGGGTAACAGGGCCAGCCCAGATTTTTAAAGGGAAGGGTAACAGACCCCAACTGGATCATTTACAGACATCTTTAATTCACCATAGGGACTCAAGAATATTTAAGTAGTAGATACGCCATAGAAGTGAATTAACTCTTTGAGAGAAAGAACTGAGTGAATGAAGAACAAAATCTCTTTCCTAGATAATAAATCCCATGAGGAAGAACTCTCAGACCAAGAGGAACAAAGGGGGAGAAAGAAGCAGGGTCAGTGAGATAAAAGAGAAACGCGGTGTTTCTGGAGCACAGAAATTCAAGGAAAGAGTCTGACATCATGGTTGATAACACAGAGAAACCAAAGGAAAAATGTGCTGCATAACTAGCGTTCTGCAGCTTCTTACCAAAAGCTGTACAGTGGCAATGAGTCTCTGAAACAATCGTAAATAATATTCTAAATCCTAGGAAAATTAATTATCTGAAGCCCCAGAAGACACTTGCTGAATATGACAACACCATGGTAATAACTCTAGAACTCCTTATTAAATCTGAGTTGTTCTGAACTTAAAAAACAAGTAACAATAACAATAAATAATAACAACAATAAATAAAAAACAGTAACTCTAGAACTCCTTATTAAATCTGAGTTGTTCTGAACTTAAAAAAGTAAAACGTGGCTTTACTTTTCCTTGTTTCTAACAGTTACAGAACACATGATTTATTTAATGTAGATGGCGACTGTCCTTTTAGGAAAAGACATCTCAATTCTTTGATGAGTTCAGTAAGCTACCAAATTCTCTAGAATCCATTTAAAATGAAAGAAGTTGCAGTCACATTATAATATTAACACTAGCACATAAGCCACCAGTGGCTACATAATTCTTAGGATGTGTAAACAGAAGGCCACCTCAGACCTTTCTCCACCATCTTCATTGTTAACAAAAATGTCTTCTTGCCTCCCCCTCCCACCACCCACAGTAAACATGCAGTTTGGCTCTTGTGAATCTACATGCTCTCCTTTCGAATGTCTGGCTGATAGCTGAGATCACCATTACAATTGTTTTTCCACTGGTTACTTACTTTCACAAGAGCTGAGTCACATGGGCTATTTAATCCAGGAGGAAACCATGGAGATCAGAGTGCAACTCTTTACAAGTAAGAAACCTAAAGTTTAGAGGTGTTTAAATTGCTTCTCCAGGGCATGGAATTATGGTCACATTTCCTAATTTCAAAAGAGCTAGGAGGTTGAGAGCATTGATTCTGGCCACCTGTCCTAATTAATAATAGGCTCTTCCGGGGCGCCTGGGTGGCGCAGTCGGTTAAGCGTCCGACTTCAGGCAGGTCACGATCTCGTAGTCCGTGAGTTCGAGCCCCGCGTCAGGCTCTGGGCTGATGGCTCAGAGCCTGGAGCCTGTTTCAGATTCTGTGTCTCCCTCTCTCTCTGCCCCTCCCCCGTTCATGCTCTGTCTCTCTCTGTCCCAAAAATAAATAAACGTTGAAAAAAAAATTTAAATAATAGGCTCTTCCTAACAAAATAAACAGGGTTTCATAACATGAATTTGCAAATGGAGTCCAGAATATTTCTTTGTTATATATATATTTTTAACTATAAATCAAAATGATTTTTTTTTTTTTTTTTTTTTTTTCTTTGGGACAAACCAGTGTGCTCTAGAAAAGCTAAAAATATGATTAAGCAACTAGTCTTAACCCTTTCTCTAAACTTAACATTTATATGCACTCAATTATGGAGGCTAGGACTACAAAAGCATACCGAGAAAATATGAGACCTTGTTTCTGCTTTCATGGGATTTACAGTCCTGTTGTGGACAGAAGACACGCATAGTTGAAAGTCAGCACCACCATGTCATGCTGTCACCAGTATCAAATGGGTGGGATGACGGCTAAACCTAGTACGTACTACATCTGATTCTATATAAAGAAAATACCCAAAGAAAATGGGTGAAATATCTTAACAGCAGCATTTCTCAAAGAGAGGTCAGGATTTTAGTCTGTAGAATGCCTATTATGTGCCCAGGGGAGTTCAGAGGGTTCAGGAAATATAGATATGCAAGACAGAAAGATCGCTGCTCTCAGAGACCTTACTGAGGAAAAAGGGAAGAGAGGCAACCAAACAGACAACCATAATAAAATCAGAAATGCCATGAAGAATACAGAACTCCTTTATTTATTTTTAAAGCATTTTTAAATGTTTGTTTATTTTTGAGAGAGAGAGAGAGAGAGAGAGACAGAGGATATGAAGGGGGCTCTGCGCTGACAGCAGTGAACCCAAGCCCGATGTGGGGCTCAAACTCATGAACAGTGAGATTGTGACCTGAGGGTCATGACATTGGACGCTCAACTGACTGAGCTGCCCAGGTGCTCCTAGAGCTCCTTTAGAGTGGGCAGACAGGGAAGGCCTCTTTAGACCTGAATGGAGCCAGCCATGCAATGATATTGGGGAAGACCATTCCAAGTAAAAGGAGGAAGAAGCTTATGAATGGGTGATCAGAAAGGAGGCCCCAGGCTGGAATGTCAGGAACCTGGAGAAAGCATAGGAGTGAGAGGGCCTGCAGACAATACACAGAGTTTGGGTAAGAAACAGCCCAGGAGTGATGGGAAAGACACTGAAGAGCCTTAAGGAGAGAAGTAGCTGATCTCATGTTAGCTTTTAAAAACTCACAGTCGGGGCGCCTGGGTGGCGCAGTCGGTTAAGCGTCCGACTTCAGCCAGGTCACGATCTCGCGGTCCGTGAGTTCGAGGCCCGCGTCAGGCTCTGGGCTGATGGCTCAGAGCCTGGAGCCTGTTTCCGATTCTGTGTCTCCCTCTCTCTGTGCCCCTCCCCCATTCATGCTCTGTCTCTCTCTGTCCCAAAAAAAATAAATAAACGTTGAAAAAAAATTTAAAAAAAATAAATAAAAACTCACAGTCAACTCAGCGGATCAGCAGGGCTATGTGGATATACTGAAGACATCAAAGGATCTATACCTTCATCTATAAAAAGAAGGGTGTTCACAATACATTAGAGGACAGAGGCACTGTCCTCACCACTCCTTAACCTAGATTATATATGTTCAGAGCTGGGCGATACACTTTTCAAGATATCTGTCATATTCACAATACTAGAGAGTCATGCTACTTAATACAGTGTACAAATTCATTGCTCATTACGTCAAAGTCAAAAGCTCTGCCACAGAACTAATTTAAGATTAATTTGCCACAATTATAAAAGATAAGTGATGTTTCTAGGAAGCAACAGAGAATAGGACTTTTTTATTTTTGACTTACGTAATTTGGGAAAGCATGGCTATCGTTTACTTATGGAAACATGGCAAATTGATTCCATGCATAAAAAACACTACCTTGAACAAAACCCAGAAAACTATAGACATGGAGTTACAGAGTCTAAGCCTGTCATTGACATTAAATTCCTCAGCTCTTTAAGGTTTAAAAAAATGACAAATATCAAACATACACACATATATTTTGCAACATGCAAGACCAACGAAGGATAGCAAGATGACATTTTACCAAAATGTACAGAGATTTAATTGTCTGTTTATTAACTGGCTGAAAAACCTAAAAAAGATTTTATTCAAAATGTCAGTCGAAAGAACAATCTCTTTTTACATACTAAGTAGTCAGTATTTGCCCCAAGCTACCAATGTTAAGAGTAATTATCTTTACCATGTGTTCACAATTCAGAATGTTAGTCTTACCCTATGAATGGTGGTCAACTGGAAACTCTGCAATTAGTTTCTATTTGAAAAATTCCTAAAGAGAAATCATAAACATATTGTTACATTTTACCCATCAGACTGCAAGACAAGTTATCCGCTCATGCAGCTCTAAGATTTCCAACATCTATAATAACTTTATGAAACATACAAAAAGTAACTAAAAAAGTGAGCGTTGTTAAAGAGATCACCTTCTGATCTCTTGCAAAGGTTATCGACTAATACCCAGGGAGTGACCCAGGGACTAGCACAAGTTACAATTTAATGTCATCACCACAGCAATTTACAAGGCATAAAATATGAACATTAAATGTTTACTTGAGAATGAGATAAGCATTATATCTCAGGTACCACTCACTTTATAAATAATAGAAAAATCCCATTGAAAAAACCCATTGAAAATATCCATGTTTCTTATAGAAAAAAGAGGAAACATGGTGGGGTGGGGGGAGCCAATATTTGGGATAGTTTCTCTCTCCAGTTTTTGTTGCCACTGTTTTTGTTTTTTTGTTGTTGTTTGCTGGCCTGCTAGTTTTACACAAACTATGCCATTGTAAAATTCAATGGCACAACATTTTTGCCTATTATTTATCATAGGCTTTCTCAGTGTTGTCACAGTTTCTCTAAACAGCATTTTAAAAAAATATTTTATTTTGAAGTTGTCTCTATTCTCAATGTGGGGCTTGATCTCACAACCCCAAGATCAAGAGTCACATGCTCTTACCGAGTGAGCCAGCCAGGCATGTCCCTGAACATCATTTTTGTTTTTGTTTTTATAATAAAGTTTATTTATTTATAAATTTTTAAGCTTATTCATTTATTTTGAGAGAGAAAGTGTGAGTGGAGGGGGGGGGTGGGAGGGAGGGAGGGAGGGAGGGAGAGAGAGAGAGAGAGAGAGAGAGAGAGAATCCCAAGCAGGCTGCACAGAGCCTGATGCAGGGCTTAAACCCATGAACCGCGAGATCATTCATGACCTGAGCTGAAGTCAGACACCCAACAGACTGAGCCATGCACGTGGCCCCTATTTATTTTGAGAGACAGACAGCGTTCAGGGGAGTAGCAGAGAGAGAGAGGTCTGTGGTGACAGGGAGACTCAATCTTAATCTCACGAACCTTGAGATCATGACCTGAGCCAAAATCAAGAGTCAGACACTTAACTGACTGAACCACCCAAGGAGCCCAACATCATTTTTCTTAGGAGTGTAACAGTACATATGTATGTCATAGTTAAAAAAAATATTTCCTTACTGAATCTTGGATTTTCCCTTTTTCCCCCTTTACTAATAATACTGCAAATATCCCTGTACTCTGTTCATATGATTTCCTTTGCATAGATCTCTAAAAGTGAGAGTAATGAGCCAGAGGGCATAAACATTTGAAGGCCTCTGATATATAACAACCAATTGTTTCTCAAGAAATACACTGATTTTCTTTTCTATAAACAATATATGAGTAGCACCCTCACCAGATGTGGTCATCATCATTAAAAAAAACAAAAACAGGGTGGCGCAGTCGGTTAAGCGTCCGACTTCAGCCAGGTCACGATCTCGCGGTCCGGGAGTTCGAGCCCCGCGTCAGGCTCTGGGCTGATGGCTCAGAGCCTGGAGCCTGTTTCCGATTCTGTGTCTCCCTCTCTCTCTGCCCCTCCCCCGTTCATGCTCTGTCTCTCTCTGTCCCAAAAATAAATAAACGCTGAAAAAAAAAATTAAAAAAAAAAACAAAAAACAAAAACAAAAAAAACCAAAAACACAAAACTATGCTAATTCCATTCTAAGTTATTTTATTGTTTCTTTATTTTGCATTTCTTTGATGGAGTGGAGGTGAACGCTTTTCAACATGTTTTATTAACAAATTTCATTAACATTTATTTACCTACACCAGAGGAGTATTTTGCTGAGAAGACGGAAATGTAACGACAGCTCTTACAATGACAGCTTGTCATCTCCGAGTGAAGTGACTGCTGCCAAGTAAAAAAAAAAACAACAGAATGGAGCTTGGTTTCTGTACCGAGGCTAAAACCAAATCACTCAAACTAATTTTAGAAACTACAGCAAAAGTTATCGCCTTTCTTCCTCCTCAGCCCCAAACAAAAGCACCAGTTAGAAAAATGAAATGTGAGAATATTAAATGACAATGCTTGTTCTAACAGAATAAATAGTCCACATTAGGCAGCTTAAAAACAGGCAGGACTCTGATTGCCAGAGTAACGCTGACCGACCCGTGCTGACATGGGCTGTGGGGTCAGTGGCTCCTCCAGCTTGCGAGGCTAATGGGTTTTATAAAACTGGCATCACCTACCCTCCCCCCAAAAAAACATTTTCTCTCCCCAGTGGCAGGACACAAGACGTGTTCACTTTCACTTACAAAGTCAATTCCAAAATAATCTCAAAACACGTATTCTGGAAGATTAGGAGAGGACACACAACACTAAGAATTGCCTTTCTCAAAGAGCTCCCTCTGGGAGGTTCCTAGTGAGGGACATATAAGGGAATACCCGCCCCTCCCCCCCCCAAGGACTGGGGATTAAAGAACAATAGGGGACAATCAACTATGACAGAAAAACAGGAGGCCCCCAGCCTTTTACTTTGAAAGCAGAGAAGTCTGGATGCTCTGATTTCCTTCTGGTCAGTAGAGATAGGGGAGACTGACAAAATGAACTCCTTTGTAGTTAAGCAAAGAACGGTTATAAAACTTTGGGATCTGAAAATTGGCTTTCCATTTGGGCAAATTTGTGTTTTAGATGGCTAAATAAAATCTTTCCCTTTAAGGTTTAGCAAGAAGTCAAAAATCTCTGCATAGTAACCCGATCTCATTTTGTAAGTCAGATATGGCAAGAGTCACTGCAATATCACACTTATTCATCCTGCCTTGGGCAATTCCGTAAGTTTAAGGCTTTAGGTTATATAATAGCCTATTTCATCAGTTTGAAAAGTTCAAACTATGAATACCAGATGTACTTAAAAGAGGGACATTTCCTTTCACCATCTGTCCTATCCTGATCACCTCCATGAATCACTTCCATGAGCCACCCTGACCTCCATCTGTGTTCCTATGACACTAACAGTTCTCTCCCACTGTTTTATCGTATACAATAAGCTATTGCCTCAAGTTCCTTGAGTGCTGGGACAGCATCTTATTATCTACATCTCCAGGACTGCTCTCGGTATCTCTTTCCAGTGCTAGATTAAAAGCCTGCATGTTACGGCAGCTTGCATGTACAGATTCATCAGCAGGGTGTTGAAAACATCTCTGGAAACTTAACTAGATTAAATAAGAATAGTATCCACCAGAACTTTTCTCAGGGATTGTACAGAGTGTGGTTGCAAGGAAAAAGAAGGGGTCTGCTATTTTACTTCTGGTCAGTTGAGATGCTAGGAACTTGAGGGGTTCTTTGGCTACCCTTTCCCTCTCACACAGGGCTTGGCTTTTCCTCTTAAAAAATGTTGTGAATAAATATATAAAGAATAACAGTCTGAAGTGGCATCAAATCATTAGCCTGCCCAGGGTAACAAATTATTAGCTTATCTCTTGTTCCCCCATGTTTCAGTCTTGCCTCTATTCCCACCATAAATATTTAGTATATAATTACTGAGTGAACAAATAATACTAGGTCAGGTCTTACCACCCAGTTAGGAACCAAGTACAGAGGAAGAGGCCCAGCTCTGTGAATGGTCTGTGAACCCAACCACAGACATGATGAGTCTCAAAGGGTGAGAAAGCAAAGCAGAGGGAGGGGACAGAACCTCTGGCATTTCCATCACCCCATGATACATCCAGAGATTCAGAAGCAGAGGCTAAGCCTTCACTTTTCAGGAAGAAAGGAAAAAAATTTACACCTGCCAATTTCACCACCAAACATGACGTCTCACAAACCTGAACGGAGAACCGCTGTCAATTTACCATGACTGGCTGCATTATAATGATGGTGAGTCATTTTGAATCAGTGATGGGTCACTGGATAAATGCCACAGCACTCCTAAATGGCTTTAATATCTTATCAAGTTATGATTTCACAATTCTTTTGTACAAATGAATAATACCAAGACCAGTGGAAGTATCGAGTTTTCACCCCAACAAGGATGGTGTGTATCATGCTGTTTTGTGCCTACCTGCCCTTCCCACCCATCCCCAAGACCATAGGCCCTGGGAAGGCAAGAATATTTCTCATCTCCTCAGGGTCTGCCAGATCTTAGATGCTCTGTAAGTATTGTAATTCCACAATTCCTGTGAGCTGTGACCAAGCTCAAATTACTGTATGTCTTTTGGATGGTTTCAGTCTCATAAAATTGGTAACTTCTCATAGGGATCGCTGTAAAGAATGTTACATCCATTACCACATATTCTTAACCCAATGATAAATATCAATTGTCATGCACTGCAAATCACCCTGGTATTTAGATCAAATTCACTTCTGACCCTAAAATTAATCCTGAAAGGGTTAATGTTCACCAAGTACTAAATGACCGTGCAACACAAAAGATGTTTAAAATGAATGCTGCTATCCACTCTCCCCCCACTCAGAAAAGTACTCAAAACATTCCTCAGGCTTCTTCAGCATTTAGGGAGTACTGATAGTTCTATTACACTGCCATTAAACTGCATCACAAAGAGCTGGTTAGATGCCTTTCAGCCTCTCCCTTTGAGCTCTTTGAAGAGTGCAGTGTCCTGGGCAGGACCTAACACACAAGAGATTCTTAGTAATAACTAGCTGTTGAATTAAGAGGTAGGAGATGGAAAAGGGAAGGCTACCATTACCATGTATTCAGTGAGGGAGGTATTATGATCTTAGCTCTAAAGGTGAGAAAGTTGAGGACTGGAGAAATGAAGAAACTTGCTCAAGCTCACACAGCGAACCCCAAATTCACACCAACCAGCGCTATGAGCCATCTGCTACACCGCCTCTCCAATGAACTATATAAAAAGGAGTTTTATATAGAACGTGGCATCTCTCTGTAAAAAAACAAAAATTACAATCTATCTTTTAGAGGAACCAAAAGACACAATCTAAAAATCCGGTCTCTGCAGGTTTCCCAGCTC